CCTTTCTTCCTGAGCATGTGGTCCCATTGCAGTCCGGTGTTCGTTTCTTCGTTTGTTATTTTTTAGGTAAATCAGGCCATGCGACTTGCTCAGACAAAGACGCATGAGCAGAAGTGGCACGTGTCCTTTCCGGGTGGAACTTTGACAGCTAGTGCACAACTGGCCAAGTCCTCTTCCCTCTCTGGCAGGCAGGGAAACATGACCTTGGAGCTGCTCTGAGCCTCGGTCTCAAGTGAGGAGCAGAGCCCTCAGGCTGGCCCGCGTGGACCTATGGTCACGTGAGCAAGCCATAATCCTTTCTGGTGGTAAGCCCCTGGGTCCTGAAGCACAGCCTGGATGATCCCGATGGACACCAAGCCCACGTACACACACACACACACACACACACACGTGCACGTGGGAGGTTTTACTGATAGGATCAAGAGGACGCTTTTATGTGCATTACTCTACAATTTGCTTTTATCACTGAACTACATACATCGTGGGCATTTTTCCAGGTCTGCAGACATGAATATACTATTGACTTTCTACCACTTGCAACATAGTCCATAGGAACGGATGAGCCACGTTACTCCAGTGTTTCTTTACTGATGACCGTTCCCGGCACGACAGGACCCCACTGTCCAACTGCCGCAGCCGTGCTCTCGCTAACCTCCCCGACCCCACCACGCTCCTGTCTCTGCTCCGGCCAACACGCCGCCGCCCACTTCGTGACTCCGCATGTGCCCGTCTGATGAGTTGCTTCCTTGGGAAAGCATGTCCTGTGGCTACCCCTGTGCTCTGAACGCTTCTCCCGAAGGTTCTGGTGATCACAGAGTAAAGTGGAAGGTCACAACTCACCCCGAACTGACCTCTCCACCCTTCCCCCAGCTTCTAGAAGCATCCTCCGCTCCAGCCAACCCAGATCATTCCGTGCCTGGAGCAGGGGGTGCTCGCCTGGGGGTCTGGAATTCTCTGGTCTCGGAGGGTGTCCTCTCCCCTTTCCTAGGGCACTTCGCCTGCTTTACTTACTCACAGCAGTTATAGTTCTGGGTCTATTTGTTAATTGTCCTCCCCTGCGGAGAAGCTCGATGACCTTCTGAGGGCGGAGGCCTCATTTGGTCCCAGCCAGCCCAATAAGACGGTGTCACCTACCTGGCGCGTGGCAGGTGCTTCGTACACATTTGCTGTCTGCGTGGAAAACTCTATCACACGTTCCAGTGTGACCTGTCACATCCACCCCATCGGCATCTACTCATCGAGTGCATCTCTAAAAATATTCCGCCATCCTCCTTGGTCCCATTAGCCTTACCATTAACCTTAGCCACGCTGAGTTTTCAGCGATCAATTATCTCTTTAGTAGACTGATTACATTTAAAAACTCAACCGAGCAGACATTTGTCAGATGCCTACGGCAGGCAACAGCAGATACTGGACTGAGTAGGAAACAACCCCTGTTCTCAGGGGACCCCTAGTTTGTCTAACTCTGGGAGTGCCTGTGCCCTGGGACAGAAGGCATTAAGCCAGCATTAATCTACAGAAAGTAAGAGTGACCCAGGCTGAGGATGTTTATCCAGGAGCCGAGATTCCTGGGCTGCTCCTCTGCCATCGATGTCGTAGACTCAGCTCAGGGGACCTGGTCCCTTTCCAACTCAGCAGTCTCCTCACTCAGCATGTCAGCTGACAGGAAGTACGCTCGCTCTGCGAACCACGAGCTCTTCCGGAGGAGATCACTTTTGAGAGGTGGATACAGTGAAACTCACTAGGCCGGAAGACGAAGGAATTTTGATGGGGCCACCCGACCCGTCATTCAGAGACAGGCTGGACAGAGGACAAGGTGGGCTAGACGCGTCGATGG